CCAAGTGAGGACACTGCACCTCCAGAGGCGGCTCTAGACTTTGTGAGGCCTTAGGCGGAACTCAAACGTGAGGCCCTCCAATAACAAATTAACTGTATCAATTGCTTATTTTAAGACTCACCTTTAACCCCAACAGCCAGGAACTTCCAGCTCCTAGAGCTAGAATCTTATTTCTGTCTCATATCTAATTCTACAAATAACTATACTCAAAACCCTGACCCTAAGGAAGTAACGCACAAAGTGCAGAGGTCAGTAGTAAGTAATGTACAGAGTGCATCGGTCAGGAGAAGGTAACGCACAGAGTGCAGAAAGTCAGTAGTAATTAACGCACAGAGTGCAGAGGTCAGGAGAAGGTAAAGCACAGAGTGCAGCAGTCAGAAGAAAGTAACGCACAGAGCGCAGAGGTCAGAAGAATCTTACACACATAGTGCAGATGGAAGTAAAGTACGGAGTGCATCGGTTAGAAGGAGGTAACGCACAGAGTGCATCAGTCAGAAGGAAGTAACGCACAAAGTGCACAGTTCAAATGGAAGTAACGCACAGAGTGCATCGGTCAGAAGGAGGTAATGCACAGATTGCATCGGTCAGAAGAAGGTAATGCACAGAGTGCAGAGGTCAGTAATAACACAGAGTGCAGAGGTCAGTAATGTAACGCAGAGTGCAAGGGTTAGTAATAACACAGAGTGCATAGGTCAGTAATAACACAGAGTATAGAGGTCAGTTGTAACGCAGTGTACAGATGTCAGCTGTGTAACACAGAGTGCAGAGGTCAGCAGTGGAACGCAGAGTACAAGGGTGGGACGCAGAGGTGTGGCGCACAGTGCAGAGACAGAACGCAGAGTGCAGAGATGGGACACAGAGTACAATGGTGGGACGTAGAGTGCAGAGGTGGGACACAGAGTGCCAGGGTGGGACGCACAGTGCAGAGGTGGGTCGCACAGTGAAAAGGTGGGACGCAGAGACTTACAGTGCATATAGATGGTCTGATGTTCAGGTGCTCTGCCCTCTTCCTCTCCTGGTGGGGGTGGGGGAGTAGCAATGTTTTCTGTTCCTGTGAAGCCTCCAGTCCAGTGTAGGGAACTGTTCCTTTATACACCTTCTGTGGTTTTGTATGCCCTCATGTCATGTGTTGTAGGACTGAGAAATACTGCATGCTGTTCTGTGCTGAGTTCATCCAAACCAAGAAGGAGATACATTAGACAAGTGTTCCTGCACGGTGTAGTTTCACTTTCCTGAGATCTGTCAGAGGTTTCTCTGATTCAGTTATATTGAGCTATTTGCATACTGCAAGATAATTGCGATTTCTCTGATGTATGAGAGTTAGGCTAGGTTCCTGACCGTGCAGCAATCCACGCGGTCTTGTGCATGATTGGCGTGCGGTCAGGAGCCACCAAGATGTGAATGTGGGTGCCATTATTTTCCCAAGTCACGCCTAGGCAACTCCTGACCACGCGGCAATCCATTCGATTTTGTGCACATTTGCCGCACGGTCAGGAGTCGCCAAGGCGTGAATCGATCGTGCTGTGGGTGCCATTATTTTCTAATGGCATCCCATTCGCACGGTTTCCCGCCACGATTCCGCCCGTGCAAGTGAACCGCGAGTCGTGTGTTGTAAAAGGTACTTTTTTTAGTGATTGCCGCGCGGATGTCACCCCATTGAAATCAGCGGCACTTGCTGTGGGCACCTGAACATGATCACGCAGCCCTGGGTGTCGTGTGGGTTAGTGCAGGTGTGAACCTACTAGCCTCAAGCTCACCTGATTAGGTCTTATCAGGTGAATCTTCTGTTGTTGCAGAGCACACTTGCAGTTTTATTATTTAAAGGGACAGTGCTCTTTTTGGTTTGGAATTTCTTAGCTAGTGTTAGCATAGGGAACAGTAAACAGTATAGGGCAGAGGTAGGTTAGGCATCTGACGGCCACTTAGACAGTTAAGGTGCCCAAACACTATACAACCCTCACAAGACTTTTGTCTTGCGAGGGTTGCAAAGTAATTAAAAAAAACGTACGATCTGCCCATCTTGGACAGGCAGATCATATTTGCGATCATCGCAAGCCCGCCCCCTTGAGGGGCGGGCTTCCGATGACTGCAATGCTGAACGGGCTGGTGTTCCAACATGCTCAAAATACAAAAGTTGTGCGACCATACAGTAGGAACGGTCGCTTGCCTTCCATACACTGCACGATTCTTGTACGATTGCGGGATTTCCCCGCAATTCTCGTACGAGAATCGTGCAGTGTATGGGCAGCTTTGGAGGCCCGGTTGCATTGATAGCCTAGAATTAAAACAGGGACCAAGAGATAGGATAGGCAGGTCTGTTTTGCTTTATAGGTGACACATGCCAGATTTCCTCCTCGAGAAGTGTATTCGTCTGCTGCCGCTCCAGCATTGCGTCTTCTCAACCCGGATTGGACTCTGCCTTAAATATCATCTCACCAGGGGCCCCTGCAACTGGACTTTGTTGCAATCCATAATTGGAGCTATACGTGCAAAGTGCCTGCATATATATATACCCTTGTATAGGTGCACCATTGTTATAGGACATATGAGCATGTTATTTGTCATTCCTGAATGTTGGTGCTTGGATTGTATGTAACATTATCTGTTTATTCTATATAGAGTTTGCTTGTGAGTACATACACTGAGTGGCCAGATTATTATATACACTGAGTGGCCGGATTATTATATACACTGAGTGGCCAGATTATTATGACCACCTGACGTTTGTAGGCAAATTAGCTATAATTTGGCGCTGAAGTTGCTAGAGGGCCAGACCATTATAAATAGGGAAGCGGGTTGGTTACCACGACAGTAGAAGTGATTTGTTTCTGAAGATTCGGGGAAACAACGCGATTTAACAGCCTTTGAACGTGGGATGATTGTTGGCGCTCGGAGCCATGGAGCGAGTATCAGCAAAACAGCAGAATCCGTTACATGTTCAAGAGCAGCTGTTGTTAAAGTGTTTAAAGACCGGACTGTCAGCCGAAAATCTGGGTCTGAATGTGGGAATTGTGGCCGTCAGCGACTACTCAATGTTAGGGCAGAACGGGGGAGGGGCAAGACTGGTACAAGACAACAGAAGGGCAACAGTGCAGTGTCAGATTCCTCGCATCACCTTTCATCATCTCCTGGAGTCACGAGGCGGCCCAACGAAGTACTGATGGGGTGATCATAATAATCTGGCCACTCAGTGTATATTGGTGTGCCTACATATGTTTCTGGTAGAAATCTATCCTGGGAGCAGTAGTACTTTTGCTTTGAGTTATCTTGTGCAAGTCACTAGTCACTTTCCTAGGAAGGGAGCATCTCCTCATATGCAGGAGCCCTGTTCTAGGTGGAGGCAGTGGTGTATTTAGGTTTTGTGATGCCCTAGGCAACACGCGTTTTTTTGTATACTGTATATCTACTGCTAGCAAGCGGTGTATATATATATATAGATCAGCCAGCAAGCAGTAGATATATGCAAAAACTTCAAAAAAAAGTGACTAAAAGGTTAAAACTTGCCTGGATCTCCGCCGGGCGGTCCCGTTCGGAAATCTGAGGATTCTCGGGCGGCCGCAAGGGATGATTGTGCGGACGCATGCGCAGTAGAGATCTTCGGCCAGGAGAAGAGAGACAGTGTAAGTCAATGCACACGGAGAGACACTGTGGGAGGAAAGAAGACACAGCAGGAGACCGTCACCTGGGCTGGAGGGACTCCTGAAAACTACTGGAAGGAAGAAGATGATCGGATCAAGAGGCATCATTTAAGGTAAGTCCTTATACTAACATGGGGGGTGAAGGGTAATTAGCAGAGCAGACCAGCCATGTGTCACAGAGTCCCACCACTGACTAGAACTCCTGCCGCCTCCTCCCATCACTGCGTCACTTCCTTCGATCACAGAGCCGATCTTTCCTCACTGCAGCATGATCGCTTCAGTGGCCGACTGCCTGCTCTTCACTGCTGGCCTCACCTCTCCCATCTTCTGTGACCGACTCCCGACCCCCCCCCCCTCCTCCACAAGCAGGCTCCGTGCGTGACATGGAGCTTTTACAAACAAGCTGTGAGACAGACTTTCGCAGTACAAGGCGTTTGCTTAGGGCCGCCCCCCAGGAAAGTGCCGCCCCAGGCAAACACCTTGTTTACCTCTCTGTAAATACGCCCCTGGGTGGAGGCACTGCCAAAATGATTGTCAAAACCCAGTCTTCCATTTAGCGAAGGCTCTGGCCCACATAGTTACCTGCAGGTTAACACCATAGTCTATTTATAGAGGGCAGTGTCATTTAACCCCCCCGAACCCCCTTGCTCCTTACGATTCACCTTTTGTAAGTACATTACTGCTTCTTTTAAATGTATTCAATAAACAATCCTTCACATAGTTCAGGCACTCTTTGTGTTTTTCTCTCTGTAAAAGTTAGGGTACTTGAATGCATATTTAAGATTTACCTCCTGAGTTTAGGTTAAAGTTAGGTTTGAGTTAGTTTCTGACAGCTTACATACACCTGCTGTGCGTTTACATTAGAGGGCTGGCAGCCTGCTAAGATTCTGCTGCAATAGATAGTAATAGAAAGAAAAAAAATC